AATGTACTAACCATTGTTACTCTCCTAAAATCTTGTTTTGAGATTTTGTACCATTGTTTTTATTCTTTTTTCTTTAAAATAAAATAACTGATGTCAAAAATAAATAAAATTTAAAATAAAATAAATAAATAAATAGCTCAGTGGATTAAAGTGCCTGCTTAGGCAGACCCAGGGGCCATGGGTGCTGGCCCCAGCCCCCGGGGCAGGCTGAGATGGTGACTGAGATTGAGGTACAATTAGGTATACATTTGTACATGGTGGTGCACACCTGTAACCCCAGCACTTGGGAGGCTGTAAATAGAAAAAATCATTATAAATCCAATCTACGTAGTGAGACCCTATTCACCCTATAGACCCTTCCCTAAAAATACAGAAAAAAAAACCAAAAAAACTTTTCATTATATTGTTTAGATTTATCTAAGTTAACTGTTATGTAGTTGGCCTTATAAAATGAAAAGTACTGAAAATTAAAAAAAAAAAAAAAACCAACCAATAAACAAATGCTTGGGGGCTGGCCAGAAAGCTCAGCAGACTAAAGCGCCTGTGGGTATGCTGTGTTAGCCCCGCCCCCGAGTCTGCATTGAGACTGGGCCTGGTGGCGCATGCCTGTAATCCCAGCACTTGGGAGGCTGTTAACAGGAGGATCACTATGAATCTGATCTACATAGTAAGACCCTATACACCCTGTAGACCCTGCCCTAAAGTCACAAAAAAAAATTTTTGTTTTTTAAATGCTATAGAGGAAAAGGAACCCTTCTCCACTTTTGGTGGGAGCACAGACTAGAGCAAACACTGTGGAAATCAGTGCATAAATTCCTCCAATAACTAGGACTAGAAGTTCCATTTGACCTATCTATTCCTCTTCTTGGTATCTTTCTCAGAGAATTACAAACATCAAACCATAGCAATACATGCACACCCATATTTATAGCAGCACAATTTGTAATAGCTAAATCTTGGAAACAGCCCCAACCCTATCAACAGATAAGCAGATAAAAGTGTGGATTTTTTTATACAATAGAGAACTACTCAGGCACAAGAAGGATAAACCTAAGGCATTTCTTGGTAAAGGGATGCACCTTGAGACTATACTCTTAAGTGAAATAAACGGAACACACATATGTAAACATTACATTGTTTCTCTGGAGTGCGATACTGAAAGTATAAATAAGGACCAAAATATACAACAGATATTGGGAAATAGGAAGAAAATTTTCAAATAGGAAGGGGAACCAGGCACAGGGACGGAAGGAAGGACAGGGAAAAAATAAAAGCAAAGCTTTCACAAATAAGGGTGAAAAAAATGGGAAAAAATGAAGAATTAAGGCATGTCTTGTACAGCTATAAATCCCCTATGAGTGTGATCATTATGTATACCTAAATTGTACCAATAAACTTAAATAAAAAAGAGTGGTTCAACAGTGATCCTCAGTCTCTGCTTACAGTAAAGTATATTCTATGATTAACCTAGAGTACCTTACATGACTTCCACCTCTGTGTGACACATCTGCTTCCAGAACAAAGCATTGGGGTAAGTCTAAAAGGACTTCCCAGTGATATCATGTAAGGACAGCTATTATATCTCAAGTCGTCTTATCCAAAGACTAAAAACTCACCATTTTTCAAATATGTGAGTTTTTAGCACTTTAGTAAGCTTTAGTCAAAATTAATTTGTTTCCTATGTTATAGAGACAGAAGTAAAGACAACTTTAAATAAAATCTGTTTATAATTCTCTCAGTCTATAATTCTGAACTGAAAACAGGGCCTCAGATTTCCCAAGAATCATAGTAAGTAACAGAACAAAGACTATAAAAGCACTACTAGCTTTATTCTTTCTCTCCTTATAAGACTACAAAGATTACTCAGAGTTACTCCTCAGGTGGGAAAAACAATAGTTCAAGATTCTTTGGCTTATTCTGGTCTTAGACTGATCTCAGCATGCTGCTGGATGCCACTCTGATTAAGAGGACATATCTTTCCTCCATAATTCTAGTCAGCTTACCTGCGTGACAGCACTGTAGTCCATCTGCAGCATATCATATTTTCCAGGGACCTTTACAAACCTCTCACGATCCTCCCAATTATTTTTCGTCTTGTCAAGGAATCTACAGAACCAAAGATGATGAAAAAAAACTTACAAATAGAGGTCTACTACAAGAAATGGACTTGGAACTGTTTCTTTGGATAGCAAATCTCCAAAAATTTATTTTCCCTCACAGAGTTCCTTCACATCAACTTTCCAAACAGCTGAATTCTAACTTTGGACACTGACTAGACAGAAAAAAGTCCGAACCAAAAGAATTTAAAAAACAAAAACAAAAACAAAAGGGAGAGGAGTGTCTGAGCTTCCCAAAGGCTCTAAAATACCACAAAAGCTATTAAGATTCAAAATAAGGAGGTGGGGATAGAGCTCAGTGGCACAAGTGCCTGCCTGGCAAGCAAAAGTCCTGAGTTTAATTCCCAGTACCAAAAAGAAAAAAATCAAAAATAGGGCTAGGGGGCCGGGCATGGCTCAGTAGAATAAGTGCTTCCCTGGCAAGCACAAAGGCCTGAGTTCAATCCTTGGTACTGAAAAAAAAAAAAAAAAAAAAGAGAGAGAGAGATAGCTTAGGGATCTAAGTACCTACCTTGCAAGTGCAAGGACCTGAATTCGATCCCTGGTACCACACACAGAAATGTAGTAAGAGCCAGTATCATTAAAAAAAAAAAAAGGGCCAGGAGATAGCTCAGTGGAATAAGCGCTTCCCTGGCAAGCACAAGGCCTGAGTTCAATCCCTGGTTCCACCAAAAACAAAAACCAAAAGAAAAAAACCTACA